CGGACCCGGACATTTCCGGACATGGAACCGGACCTGTGTCCGGTAGTTTCCGGACGTCCGGACATGGGGGGATCCGGAGAGTCCGGATGCCTGGACAGGTCCGGAAATGTCCGGACCGTTAAAAAAAAAATAAAAATAAAAAAATCTGAAAAAAAAGTATGTTATGCAGAATAGCAATGCAAACCACTTTTGCCTCGGAGTCATGTCAGAATTCCAAACCAAACTTGAGTTAAAAGTCAAAAACGATAAAAAAGCTTGACGCCACCAATAATCCGAGCAGAAGCAGAAAGGGTTTACCAGAAAGGCAATGCAGCTTTTCACTACACGATGGGGTGCTTTTTCGGGACTTGCATCTGTGGACTGTCCCCCGGGTCGATCGCAGCCTTTGTTTTTTTCCGGATTTTTCCTGTGATTTATTGCACAGGTTTGTATATTTGTATATTACAGAGGTGTAGGATAATGACAAAGTTGATTGCTGGACACAGCCGCAGTTACTATAAGACAGTCACATACGGTTGATAGCTGTACATAGAGGTTTTCTGTGATCAAGCTGATACTTTGTAGATTTGCAGAGTAATAGAGGTGTAGCATTACGTTACGGTTTGATATGGGGTACTAGGATATGGCCGATTGTTGTAAACGGCCGCCTTGCACAACTTTAATACTTGGAAGAAGGTCTCCGTCCCTGATACTGTGAGGCATAGTCGTGGTATGAGCTTTGCTTGGCCGAAGAGCCTTGCTCAGCTCAGTGCTGCGGCGACTTTTTGTAAGGGACGCCGGGCCCATTTCCCGGCTTTGACATTAATAAACAGTGAACCTTCTTCAAAAAAAAAAAAAAAAAAAAAACCTTCAAAAACTAATATATTAATAATTAAAGAATTGGGGTTGTCTGGAGTCCCCAATGGGGAAGGGTCCTGAACCATTTTTGAGGGCTCCTCAATGGGGAAGGGTCCTGAACCATTTTATTTTTTTCCCCCCTCAAAATTTGGCAGATCCGGACCTTCCAGACTGGACGTCTGGAGTCCGGACTGAATCCGGACCGTCTGGACGGCGGTCCGGACGTCCGGATCGTAGCCATGGAAAAAACAGCTCAACCAACTCCCCATTGACCCTGATAAAAGGACAGAAACAATCAAAAAAATATCAACCACCAAACTAGGCAAAGGTGCAATGACTTGCTGATTCCTGCTGCCGAGATTGTCCGCGAGGCTGTACACTAACCTGTAGGGTTAGTTTTGTAATTTTGTTTGGCTGAGGGCTAACCGAGAGATCCGCCTGTGTGGAAATTCGTGAGGAAAATAAAGACCTGGTACTAACCGAGTTCCTACAGCTACCCTAACTGCCTATAGCAGGCCCGGGCTACCCCTAGGACAGACAGGCCCTAAGCGGCCGATACTGCTATACGGTCCGATAGCCTATAGCCGGGTCAGGTAGAGGCCGAGAGGCCGAAACAACAGCGGTACCGGTAGGTCCAGTCAGTCCAGTCTAGGTCTAGGCTAGGGTAGGGAGTCTATAAGTCCAGTAGGGAAATCGGGTAGGGACTTTTGGCTTTTCATTTTTCGCACGCAGCGTTCGTGGCCAACCAAGTTTAGCAGCGCTGAATGTCTACAGCGGCATCTGCGACATCAGCGGAGTGAGGCAGCCATAGCCAGCCTACCTGAGACAGCCATAGCTGGGGCTGTGCTCAGCGCATCTATCCCCAGGGGATATCTGCGTTTGGCAGGACTATCGGAGGGTCTTCACTGAGTACATGTGGGTATTGCTGCTGCGGTAGCAGCCAGGCAGCCATAGCTGCCTTCTTCATCGTCAGAGTGACTCATCGGCACTGGGGACTACATCGCTGTTCATGATCTGCATCTGGGTGTTTGGCGCTGGCCTCAGGGAGGCTGTTTCAGTGCAGCGCTAGACTCTGAGTGTGGAGTAGTGAGTGGAGTGTGTGGTACTGGGGTGGCGAGACACTGGGTTGAACTCTGAAACGATAATTGAGGTTAATTGTGCTGAGTTGGCTCATCATCTGGGTTACTTTCCGATTCTGATCTTCGCAGTGTCAATTGTGATTGGTTGTTGGGAGTGTGTCAGGGAGAGAGAAACACTGAGTGTATTCTCCCCTTCTGTGCATAATTGCTATTCCGCTGTTTATCTCTGATCTGTGTGCAGTTGGACTCTGTCTCCTTCTCCCCTTTGTCTCATGCATGTATGGGCGTGTGTGAGTTCTTCTGAGTGAGAGTGGCAATCAAATTGTCAGACAACCAAGTTCATAACAAAGGCCTACTTGGTACAATAAACAATGACAGACTCATCCTCAATAATTGGCTAATCATAACACAGCCACAAAACACCTCTACAACTCCACTAACCTCCGCACAACCATTGCTAAACCAACCTCTCTCCACTAACCCATTACAGGTTTAGTAAAACCCCCTTTCCCCCCAATAAACCCACCACTCCCCCCACCCCCAATACCACCACCCGCGCCAACCACCCTACCTCACCCCTCCCCACACCACCTATTACAGCGCACCTACCCAAAGCCCCACAGCACAGTCACCCTAAATCCACAGAACCTATCCCACAAAGAAAACCCTCAACAGTCTTCAAACACTCCCCCACTATTCCTGAGCAACACCAAATTTACGGCCCATCCTCGGTAACCACCACAGATAAAACCAGCAACTACAGTTTAGAAACGACAGACAGAGACAGACCAACAGATAAGACATAAACAGCAAGGGATTAGATTTCTAGAAACAACCACCACAGATAAAATCTACAAAAACAGCCTGGAAACGACGGAAAGATACTAACCACAGACTAGAGACAACCAGCGAGGGTTTAAGGTTTTAGAAGTTTACACAAGACAAGAACGAAAACCTAATGGAACAGGCTAACTTAAGCAGGGGTGAAGGGTGGTACATCCCTCCTTCGCAAGGTAATCAATGCCATCCTTCGGGCCTTCACACCATGAGGGGGAGGAGCGTGTGTGAGTACACAATGTAATCCTTTATGACTTGCCGGGGGAATAGGAACCGGACTGACGCTCCCCAGAATGGAAAAGG